TTACTCAGTCCTTAGAATTTTCTCAATTATTCCAGTGGGGATTAAAGGGTACTCTATCTATCTATCCACACCTTAGGATCCGAACAACCGTTCTCCTAAGTGTATATAACAATTTCTGAAATATTACAAGAAAGTTCTAACCTCCAACTAGGAACTAAACTTCTAAGATTTAGCAATGAATAGCGTATAAAAGCGATGATTCACTTGTCCCTAGTTAAGCATGAGTCCAAGCAGAGAGTAAAGTTAATTTCACACTTTCTCTTTTGCTAGATAGCTCTTGAATGCTCGAAGAATATTTTTCTCTACTTTGGATGCTCAAAGCTTGGTTAGAAACTTTCGTTTCAGCCTCTATTTATAGGCTTTTTGGCTGATCAATCTTATCCGTTGGTTAGGATAGTTTGATCTCTACCGTTGATCTTCTGGCGAGGACGAATTGTATATTCGTCTTTTTGTGCTGGAGCATTTATTGCGGCTGATCTCTTTGTCTTGCATTATTCAGCCGCTGAAGCATCTTCCAAGTGTGCGTCTCATGCTGTAGACCCCAGTACTTGATTCGGTATTTAATACCGGTCAAGTTTTTGTCTCCAATCATATACATTCATTGTATATTTATTTTCGAACTTGGTCTCGTTTAGTGACATTTTAATTTTTGTGGTCTAATAAAATATACCGGTAGGATATAAATATCCTATTAAGTTAAATAAAATTACCTTATTGCATTTTTACTTTTTCCGGTAACATTTTATTAGTCATAAAAATTGTACATTAATTTTGTCACATAATGCAAATAAAACTGAGACACAATGTACACGTGTTATGTATAGTGGCATCATCAAAATCTTTATCAAAATTGGGTACTAACACATTTAACTTTCAAAAATTCAATAATTATACCACGTCAGCATTCAACATCTAAATTTAAGAACATTAATGTATACAAGTAACATAATGAAAATGAGAAGTTTTTTTCCTCAAATATTACTAATAAAAATAGGTGGACATAAATGTGACTATAAGTTACCATGGGTAAGTTTTATAGTCACTACGATATAACATTTGAATAAAATTATAAACACTAAAGTTACTAGAGTCACATTTTTGTCCACAACTTTATTTTTGATTATAGATTTGGAATTATTTCTAAAAATGTACTTTTAATACTATGATTTAGGTATTTTTGTAGTTACTGTTTTAGAAACCTCGGAATTAAATTTAAAACTTGATATAAATTAGAACAATCAATCAAGATTAATCTAATCATCCAATACACCTCTACAAAACTATTAGCAATTACATAAATTAAAGCAATTTAGAGTAATGTTTCGCAATATTTGGACTTTAAACTCATATGTAAGCTTTATGAAAGTTATGGGGTTAAAAATTAAGAGAGTCACAATGTGAAAATTGTGTACAGAAAATCACGAAAATCAAATAATCAATATGTGAAGAAAATAAATCTTATAAAAGTTTATAAATGATGATGAATGATATTGAAAATTAAAAATCTAAAATAGTGAACTTTGAGCACCAACTTCTCAAAATTGCAAAGGACAGCTGATTAGTTGAATATTTTTCAAAAAATTAGAGGGAATAAGTGTCATATACTACTGTACTACTATTCATATATACTTAATATATTAAATAATAAATACATAAACTATTAAAATATGTAAGTTAATTGTGTGGGTCGGGTAATGGTGCAGGTAACCGTATCTAAATTAAACGGGGCGAGTAACGGGACGGGTAACGGGGCGAGTAGGTATAAACCCATAACCGCCCCATTACCCGTTTACATAAATCGGGTATTCCCCGCCCCGTACACATTACCCAGTCAAAACGGTTTTTCCCATTTTGACCGGTTCGGTTCGGTGCGGGTATCCATCAGGTCGGGTTAAATTGCCATCCCTACGTGTGAGCTCAAAGTTTGATCAGTTTATCAAGTACTCCGTAATTCCGTATTGGGAGTCCCCCTACTGGACATGTTTTGCTTTTTTTTTATTCAAAAAGCATACATTGTTTGCTTAGATGCCCTTGTCCATATGATTTTTTGGACAAATTTTCAATGTCCTGACCATCCTCACCCCTCCCTACTTTTGTTTTATTATAACCTAGTTTTGGTTGTAACAGAAATCTATTTTTTCATAAACACTTAAGTTTTGATTTCGCGCGTTGAATTGTATAATACTCTCTCCGTCCCATTTAAAGGTTCTCTCGTCTACTACTCACATGGTCAACTTAAATCATTCTTAACCTTTTGCTTTATATATCAATTTTTTATGAAATTCACATATTTTTTATCAGCCTTTGCAGCGACTATAATGTAGTTTCTGAATATGTAAATTTTGTTTTCTAAAAATAATCAGAGTGTGAACAGGGATCAAGTTGTTTTATCGTCAGTCAAGCATAGTAAATTGAACCGGGAACCTCTATATGGGACGGAGGGAGTAATAAGAAAAGATAAGACTGTAGTTACTTTTCTGTCTGTATTGGCTGAAGTTACTGTAGAGTATTATTTTAGATATTTTTTCATATAATTTTTATTTTATTAATTAATAACAAATATTTTAAATTTAATTTTTTCGCCGCTCACAATAACATGTTTCATGGTGACATGATATCGGCGGCAATGGTGAAACTCACAGCGATAACAATGACACTGATAGTCATTGACAGTGACTTAAAAATCAAGAAATGACATAATACCAATTCGACAATTACATTTAACGACCATATATGAAAAATTGTTGTTATTAATCAATATGCAAATCGTCATGGTTATTGATTAATTTGCATTGTACTACGTAATATGAGTTTTTAATACAATTCGGGAAAATGATTAATCTGAATAATATAATAAAGGAGAGACTCCGCGCACCTCCAAATGTGGTGGGCGCGCGCCTATCTTTGCTCATCGATCAATGGACTAATTTGTCATCTTATTTGATGGGCGCACATCTTGGTTTGATCGTACATTTCTTAGTTTTTATTTCGTATTTGTAGATGTTAGACTATTTTTGAAGGTAGATGTTAGACATTATTATCACTCTATTTGACAACATTCTTAAATTGGTTTCATTTTTAACCGTCCCTCTTTATTTATTGACACATCTACCTTTTAAAAAAGAAATATTTTTAAAACATAATCAACCCCTAATATAATCAAAATTACAAATCCTAACCATCATCAAACAATTGTTATTCTCTCTGTTCCATTAGAAGGTTTCCATATTTTTGGACGTCTCATAATTCATAGTACGTATAAAGATTTTCATTTTTATTTTAGAAAACAATTGCACTCTTAAACGACAAACTAATTATTAAATATTAAAAATATACATGTATGACACTCTTAAATGACCTCATTATATTATATACTCATTAAAATTATTTCTCGAAATATATTCGAATTACCTGATTTAAGTATTGTCTAAATAACCGTGCCATTTTCCGTTGAGAACTTTTAAGCGAGACGAATGTAATTTTTTTTGGGAAAAGTTTTTTGAGCGAGACGAATGTAATATATACTCCGTATATAGGGCGGATCAAACAAGACACATCGAATAAAGTCAATAGACATATATTGGACAGTTTGGACCAGATTAGGCTAAATCGTACTTAAATAAACCATACCAAATCAGATTACAAAATTTCAGTCAAATTAAAAACATCCTTATTGATGTTATATTTATAAATTAATACTACATATCTCCTAATAAATTAACTTCTCTCAATTTAATATGTATACTTCAAATTTCAATTGTGGTCGTCTTATAAATTAACGTTTCTCGATATTAATATAAAAAGTCGCAATTTTATATTCAAAAATAATAATTTTAACCTTTTTAATTTGCCGTATGATTTATGACCACTAAAAAGAAATTATACATGTATTATAGTGTAATGGAATATCATAGAATATTATTTACGGAAATTTGGTACGATACACTACAAAAAAACATTTGTGTACTATACACTACAAAAAAACACGGGATTGGTACGGAAATTTGGCACACGGATTACCAATTTTTCGTGCCAAATAGCTCGTGCTAAAGTGTTTTGGCACGGATTTGGCAAAATCCCTGCCAAAATTCCTTACAAAATCCCTGTCAATTCCGTGTTTTTTTGGTAGTGATATTACATACTCCGTATATAAAAAATTTAAGCATAACAGAAACAATAAATATGTCTTGAATAATATAAGTATGTGTGAAAGAACACAAAATTTTCCATGTTTTGGAACAAAATTGTATATATTTGTATTTTACATTTCCGGTGACTTGTTTATAAATGGTTCATATAGGTTCTATAAATGTATAGTTAAGATGAATATTTATTTATTTTGTCAATATAAATATTTTATAACATATCATCATGCAAAAAGTTACATAACATATCATCACAACATTTTATAACATATTGGTCCCACTACTACATTTTCTCTAATGTAACACTTTTCAGTGATATTGTAACACTTTCTTACCATTACATTTGATCATGTTGCATTTGACCTATTGTAACACTTTTTAGTACCTAATGTAACACTTATACTACTAGAAAGTGTTATATTAGGTCTAAAAAGTGTTACATTAGAGAAGTATGTAACACTTTTATAGATATGTTACATCTTTAATGTTACGTTAGATCTAAAAATGTAGTAGTGTCCTTTGTATACTCATAAATAAAGGACCGATACTCCATCCTTGAGAGCCACCCAGAATTAAGTATTCTTATAAACAAGCTAAGTTGTTATTCTACTGTAAATGTAGTCTGCATCATAGGGGACTAGGGGTTATTTGAGTAGTTAAAAAGTAAAAGAGGTCATGTGAAGCATAATGCTAGGTGATGAGTATTCCATATTCGGGCACATTTAGAGGCCGGTTTACTTTTTAAAAAAGAACATTGAGCCTGTTTCAATTGATATTAGTTAGGTTGTATTGACTGAATGTGCAGGCCTGGTGCATTACTACTTACTAGCTAGTATGAGTAAAAAGCTAAGGCATCCTGCATTGCATATATTAATCATGATGATTACTGATTAGTTTGATCATTAGGTTCCAGTACATGAGAGTCCCTTTGGTGAAATGATGTTGATATTCATCATCATGAGGTTGCTGCAGCAATTATGAAAAGGCCGGGAAAGAGAAGAAAAGTGGCTGGGTTGTTGTACATGGAAAAATCTGCCCACTGTGATCAAAATAATAACTAACGTGTAAATAAATTACATGTAAATCTGAAAAAAACGACTTAGCTTGCAACAAATTTTAACTCAGCACACTAAAAATGTTGGCCGGGCTGGAATATTACAGACATACAAACACTATGGGCTTGGTGGCCCGACCTGGTTCTTTCAATTCAACATCCATTGTTGAGTACCACCTAAGAGTTAGCCCATGACCAATTGACCATGACTAGCTTTAACAATAGAGCAGAGGAAAGAAATGTTGAAGAGAAAGCACGAAATGACGGCTAGGAATCTGAAATCTACATAGAGGGCAAGTATTGATACCGGATAGTTGGTAGGGGTCGTCTTTTGAAATACAAAACCAACTTGCAATGCAATTTGCATGGAACATGTGGCCACATGGCAGCAACATTGCTGCTGCTGGAGTCTCGACCTTGTGACTATGCTCCTCCTCGGCCGGATAGGGGAGAAGCTCATTCAGACATTGGAGGCGAATCACGGGGCACTGTGGTTCGTACTTGCCAAAGCAAATCACACATGTTTTTTGTTCTTCTTTTAGTTTTGTACCATTTGGCACCATCCTCGGGAGAGGCATTGGAGATGATCGATCGTAATCACGCACACCAGGGGACAGCTGCACAAGGCAATCTTCAAACCAGGTCAAGGCCTCTACTCCCAAAGTTACAAAAAGGTGTAAAGATAAAGCCACACTGATCGAGTACACCTTTGAGTTAGAGTTGTCATTGGTGAGAAGAATAAGCCGATCGCGACACCCCCTTATTATTTCACTTGCGATGACCTTGAGCCTTTCTCCGTAGACAATGTGATGGAAGGGGGAGAGTACCTTATCTGTAAATAAAGTCATAAGTTCTTCTTCCTCTTCCTCTTCAGATAGGATCTTCTCCAAGTCAATAGTCTCCGCGCATTCACCGCTCACGTCAACGAACTCCTCAATCCTATACAGAACTTCCACATTCCTGCAGCCGCATTCTTCCCAATCCCCCCACCATGTTCTAACAAACGAAGCATCCCTTTCTTCAAGATATATCCTCACCAGAGACCTTTGAAGATCAGGACCATCTTTTGTATCTATATCCACGCTCCACTGAAAATCAGTCAACAAGTCCGTCATCGCTGCCGCGCGCGCGCGATCCTAATCGGAGTATCTATATTTATTGTAGCCGGCCCTGGATTACGATAGCACAAATCCTTAATCTCTTAGGATTACCAATTTATGTATTACGATAGTATATACTCCGTATTAAAGAATCAACCGACGCAGTGAGCAGTTCAGCAAGTTGCGGTGGCGGCGGCGGCGCAGCCTCGATCTCCGTCTCTGGTCCCTGGGCTCTGGCTCGGTGGCTTCCGGAATCCGGATAGTCTTTTTAATTGACCAACCACAAATCCTAGATTTATTGTAGCCGGCCCTGGATTACGATAGCACAAATCCTTAGTCTCTTAGGATTACCAATTTATGTATTACGATAATATATACTCCGTACTGTTAGGTGAATGTAATTACTAGTCTATCCTTCGTTTGTTAGGAATCGGTGGGTTTTTAATGTTTGGCATTGATATTTTTTATTTTACAAATTGATTACGTAGTATGTGATTACTACATTCAAAGTTTATAAATTTATTACTCCCTCCGTTCCATAAAATTCTTTCCACTTTCCTTTTTGAGCCGTCCCAAAAAATTCTTTTCACTTATCATTTTTGGACAATTTGTGTGATTCACATTTATTTCACCTTTTTCTTACATAACCACAACCATACATTTTCACTTTCTTAATCTCCGTGCCAAATCAAAGTGGGAAGAATTTTATGGGACGGAGGTAGTATGAGTTATGACACATTAACGGATTAACCCACTAATATTGTTCTTCCTTTGTTGATACGATATACGAGTAATAATTAATATATCCTTCGTAAGTCTATCCTTTGATTTTAAATATTTCACCGAAGTAACTCTTTCATTCGAACTAATAATTAGTTCTAAGAGCAATTATTTAATGAGTTAGTTCTAAAGTAATCAGTTGATTAATTAAGTAAGTAATCAGTTATAATAACCTAATCATGCAAAAATAATTTGCTAGCTAAGTTCCTATATTTAACACAAATAAGCTAATACCCTTTATGGTAATTTTACCTTCAATTAGTTATTTCAACCTAACATGTTACCAAACACTTTCACTTCGGCGGATTCAGACTTTTCAGGCTTTTCAGTCATTCCAGCCGTTCCAGCCGTTACCAAACAGACCCTGAAATGGATATTTATATTTCCTTAAGTTATTCTGAAACAATATTTCCTTAAGTTTTCTTTGACTTTATCTTAAAAAAGACTCTTTTTTTTTTGAGAAACTTAAAAAGACTATCTTAAAAACAACTATTTGTATAATGTATTACCATCAACTATAGTAACTTATAGATGATTAAACATGTGAACGCCATTTAGAATGTCTGTAATTGGACTGATTTCGATCTTTATAGATTTAAACAAGTCATATTAGACTATAATACTTGACTTACAGAATAGTAAAATAAAGGTAATGAAAAATAATGTGACTTTTTATAGTTTAGTGACTTGAATTGTAACTTTAGTGATACTGGTCATGTTGAAATTTACATTGTAGTGATTATGGTGATATGCGACTTCGGTCACATTTTTATCCATAATAATATTTTAGAAAAAGCCTACTAAATAAACATCTAACCAAAAATACAACAACATCCAAATCTTAATTCCAAAAAAAATTGGGAACAATTAACATGAATTAATACATGATTTCATATCTAAAAGGAAATAAAGATAAAAATAATAAAAAGGTAAAACGAATATAAAATAAAGATTATATATATATGATAATAAAAAGATAAAACGAATATAAAATAAAGACTATATATATTGAGTGATTCAACCTTAAAGTGGGAGCTTAAACCCTTCACTCAGAAGCCGGGCACGCATTTCAGCTCATCCATTTTCACTCCCAGCTAATTGAGTGAAAATGGCTGTTGCTTCTCTCGGCTCTAGTATTTTATTGAGTCCGTACAGGCTATGGTATCAGCCTAATATCAGAAGACCACGATTCAGTGCTTGCTCGGTGCATACTCCGTTTGTTAAAGGTACCCAAAACGACCGATTCTCCCATCTTCGTTTGCAAGAGCTCAATTGTTTGATGGAAATGGCTCATTTTATCGCTAACTTACGTATTTTATTTTTCGTTTGCTTCAGCCTGTATGTGGTCTCGTATTTAGTTGATTCCAGAGACAAGATAAATCATTTCCTTGTTGATTTTCCATTCATTGACATGACTTAGTTGATAACTAGCGAGCACTGTCCTTTCAGGTACAAGTGGTACTAAGCTTCCTCGTAAAAGCCGTGTAATAGGTGAAGGGTCTGGAAAAAGTATGGATGACTCTGTTCAACGTAAGATGGCACAATTCTATGAAGGCTCCGAAGGCCCTCCTTTACGAATCCTCCCCATTGGAGGTTTAGGAGAAATTGGGATGAATTGCATGCTAGTTGGATATTATGATCGATATATACTGATTGATGCTGGTGTAATGTTCCCCGGGTAAGAATAAACAAATATGTGGAGTACATTTATGGGAAGATATACTTCCCAGAGCTTGAGACCAGTGAAGCATTACGTTTATCATTAAGCATGTCTGTTTCCTAGTAAGTGCTTGGGATGATTTCATATGACACCTGTGGATCAACTTACATTAAAATTACAAATAACCAAGTAATTCAATCTTAATAATCCTGCTGAGCCGTGATTAGCTCATCTCACTTAATCCTACAGTTTACTATAAGAGGCCATATATTTACTTTCCAGTTTCATTTCCTTTTTTTTATCCACAGTGGACCAATACTGGATTCTCTTTGACATTTATCCAGATATGACGACCTTGGTGTCCAGAAAATTATTCCTGACACCACATTCATTAAAAGGTGGAGACACAAAATTGAAGCGGTTGTCATAACTCATGGACATGAGGATCATATTGGTGCATTGCCTTGGGTAATGTTTTATTTTATCTTCTAGAGAGTTTCCTTCTTTGTTGTGAGCTGCAAATGTGCTTCATGAAGATTTTTGTTACATTGCTGTGCTGCCTTGGCTAAAGTTATTATGAAGACTTTTTTCGTGAGGGTGTTCATTTTTTAATAGTTTCCTTTATTTGTGCTCTATATTGATTTTTGTGCATTTGGTGCTTGTGCATGCACCTATTTTTGTCATGACGGACACACACACATCCAGAATTGCAGTATATCTATCTATCTATATATATTATAAATTTCTTATTAACAATTTATTGGTAACCAGGTCATTCCAAGCCTTGATTCACAGACACCGATATTTGCATCTTCATTCACAATGGAGGTATGCAATTCACACTCGTGGATCATTTCACTTATAAGCTCTAGTGATAGTTATTCTTATTCATGCGAATATGTTTATAGCATGTCTAGAAAGAGAGAAAAAGTTTGCGAGAAAATAGCAAGTTCAGATTCTCTCTATTTTCCCGAAAATTTCATTTTTTATATTTTCAAATATAACTAGCCTATAAACACAGAGTATCCTTAGTGATTATATATTTTCATCAGTATGCCTTTTATTCTTTTCTGTTCTCAACACTTATATTCTCATGTATTGGTATTACCAATCTAGAGGAAACTGAATTAATCCTTACTCGTTAACCTTTTCAATTTTTACTTTCTTACAAAGAATTGGATAGTTAATGTGAAATTAAAGATGCAAGCTTTCAGCAGCATTAATGGAGTAATTTGACAGCAATGAAAATGAACAGGACATCAAACTGTAGAATAATACGACTCTCATCGATATACAACTCAACAGTTTCATAATTTTTAAGACTATTACAATGTTTAAATACATAAAGAATGGGTTTAAGCCCAATAGGGATGTCTAATATTCCTATTTGTTGCTATATTCTAAGTAAATGTGATCTCAATCAAGCTTTTCAAGTAGGCATTCAAGGGTGATTTGTTAAGCTGATTGTTACTATATGTTCATACCTTTGTATTTCTAATGTGCCTGTATTTTTTGGATAAATGTAAATATTTTAATATTTCTATTTGTTGGTGTACTTTGAGTATATGTGAGTTCAATTAAGCTTTTTGAGTAGGCTTTCAAGGGTAGGTTGTTAAGCCGGTTGCATTATGTTTCACCAAGGCTCAAACATGGACATTAAGTTAATACTCCAGTGTCGAGAAGGATACACATTGTTGAATATGCTGTTTTAAATCCTGATCTGATACAGAGAACATGGGGCCACAATCCTCATATTTAGTGATCTGGGGCAGATGTGGTATCATATAAATACCATAAACAAACGAAAATTGAGCTTGAGGAAGCGGTCCAGCTTAGCTGGTCGCCGACTCACTCCCCCTTATGGGTGGTCCTGGGTTCAATACTCAATGGAGTGAGTTTGATCCCAGTTTACCCCAAGCCTCCTCAGCCCCCCTCCCCACGACCCCCCTGCGGTAAAAAAGCGAAAATTGAGCTTATTCAGAAACATGTAAACAAGCTTGTTCAGTGACATGAACCAACTTTTGAGAGAATTGTGATGTTTTATTAGCTTGATTATAGGAGGCCTGCAACACCACACTTGATATAGATACACTAGGGGAATACAAAGTATGCAAGGTCACAGGATGTGCTGATTGTATGCTTTAGGTGTGATATATACCTGCTACATTCAAGTTTCAACTAGTGCCAAGTAGGGTTGCTATATTCAACACTAACCAAATCACATGTTGTTTGCGATTGGCTGGTTTATTAAAAAGTGATTTTTAATCTAATTAGAAAAATGTAAATGATCTTTAATCATGCTTGCTTACGAACAGTTTGATGAACATTTGGTTGATTTGCATGCCTAAAAAGGAGATAGTTCTAGTAGGTGATAATATTCAGATGGAATGCATCCTAATGCGCGTTTTGTTTTGTTAATAGGCTACTATCTTTTTGTTTGTAAACAGCTGATAAAAAAAAAGCTGAAGGAGTTCAATATCATTGTTCCTTCGAGGCTTAAAGTATTTAAAACAAGAAGAAAATTTACGGCAGGCCCATTTGAGGTAGAGTGTATTAGGGTTACCCATTCTATCCCTGATTGTTGTGGACTAGTTCTACGTTCTGATGCTGGCACTATTCTCCATACAGGCGACTGGAAGGTAGTGGAGCTGTTTGCTTCTATCAGCTTTACCATTAATAGTCTCTCCATTATTGTGAATAATTATTTTATGCTCAACAGATAGATGAATCACCATTAGATGGACATTTTTTTGATCGTGGTGCTCTTGAGGAACTCTCTAAAGAAGGAGTTACATTGGTAAGCATGGAATTCGATTATGGATTTTCCTTGTAGTGAACATCACTAAAACCAGAAACACCGTTTCTGCAGTTTTACCCAAGACCATTG